TGGTTTCATCTCAGTGAGCTTGGTATCAACTGCTAATTCTTTCAAATATAACACCAGATTTCCAAATCGCTGCCTTTTAGAAAATTATTTCTGTAGTTTTTATTGCAGTTTGACCTCTTATGAGCAAACCCATATTTTTTTATTTTTAAATATTATGTTATTTTAAAATATTAACAAAATAACAAACCCCTATTTGTACTTTTTTTTTTTTTTTGAATACTTCTATGCATCTGAAAGAAACATAACTGTGGGTGGATGTTATCCCTCCTCTTTGTGTTTAGTTCTCACAGAGTGCTTCCAGAACTTGATCTCCAATGGCAAGAAAGGTAATTCAGATACAATGTATGATAAGCCACAGCATGGGGCAGTATCCAGAAAACTCTCCTCATCCTCTAAACATGGTGTTTAACTTGGTCACCCCCATCACATCAAACAGGGAGGTATTTATCCAAGCAGCAGCCCAAAAACCAGAACACTGAACAATTTCAGTGTGAATTCTGGAAGCTCTCCCTCCAGCACCCCCTTTTGTTCCCAGTGACTCTCAAAGCACAAACAGGGACTCATGCTTCACATTGCATATACTGCAACGTGTCCAGCCTGCACACACACCACCCCCCCCCCCCTACTGCTCACCAACATTCATACGTGGATTTTGACTGGGAGCACTGGCAGTTCCACATGTAAGGACAGGAGTGGCACCAGTGAAGGGCTGTGCTGAGCTCAAAGAAGTTGGACAGCCTCTCACAAGCCCACAAACACTTACACTTCTCTGGAGCCAGAGGCAGGAAGGTCCTGCAGCAATCCCAGTGTTAAAGCATGACCAGGAATAATTATTTTCACTGTTCCAGCACTAACTGCACCCCAGTTGAGTTTCCCATGCACATTCGCCAGGATATTTTCTTAGAGAAAGGGAGAAAGAAGGGTGGGGACAGTCGTTCATCAAGACAGAAACAAGTATTGCTATGTCCACTTCTCTCACCCAAACAGCTGAGAGCCCCAGCACGGATCCGAAGGCACTTTCCCTTGATACTGGGTGACCTGACCCACTTGGGCCACAAGGAGTCTGTGGTATTTTGTGGACCCTGAAAAATATTAATCAGGGCACCCAGCCTGGCTATGGGAACAGCATGGCTGTAAAAACCCAACAGGAAAACTCAGGGCCAAATCCAGATGTTCCCTGAGCAGGGGCTCCCTTGGCAGTGCGGGATGGGGGAGTGCCAGGGCCTTTTCTGCGGGGCAGACACTGCTCGCATGCCGTGGGGACTCAGAGGTGGCCCTGTGATGGAGATTGAAGTTCCACGGCTCCCCCAGCCACTGGGGAGAAGCTGCACGTACAGATTTCCATGCTTCCGGCTGCTGCCATGGCTGCTCAGTGCCCCCCGTAGAGCCCACGGCTGCATACGCCCATCTTCCCCTGCATCTAATGGATACTGCACATCAGAGGCAGTGGTAGGTGGGGAGATAAGGGGGAGAAGCTTTAAACATTGCCAGGTCAGCGCAACAGGAGGTAAGCCAGTACAGAGGCAGCAAGAACTACTGAAAGTTTTTGATATAGTCCCTGGTGGACTCCCCAATGCCTGTAAATGTTTCAAAGGGGGATCCCCTTTCTGCAGGCATGGAAATGTTTCAAAGGAGCCCAATCAGTGCAATGTTTCAAAGACCTCTGCTCTTTAAAAATTCCACCCCAACCACCCCCCTCCCAGCTGAAAACATTTCTAAACAGATCCCTTCCTGGCTAACCACAGCTGAGGAGGTCTGTTCTGCTGCTTACAGCCCTCCTACAGGCCCCAGTGTAAAATGAAACAAAACATCTACCATTTACCTCCTCTGGGGATGTATCCAGCTTGCTCCTTCCCCAGGGACCCTGCGCAGGACCCAGTGTGCCTCTGTGTTTGTGCACAGGATATAAAGGGCTAGAGTGCGGAAGGGTAATTTTTCAAAGCTGTGTGTGGGAGTAGCACTGGAAATTCCCTGCATACTGCTTTGAAAAAAATAAGCCCCCTACCTCCACGAATTATGAGCAGGGCCTCCGACTCCAGACTGAGGAGCTGAGAGGTTGAAGAGGGAGGCACAGCCAACTTAAGTGGTTGCACTTTTTAAGACTACAATGTAAGAAATATTGAATTCTTTAATCATATTACAGACACTGATACTTAAGAGGTGTTGCTGCTACAGACCAGGGATTCCTTTGTTGACAGTCACTTGAGCAGAATAAAACTGTAAGCAAGTGCTTAGGATACCTCAACTATTGATTTCGTGTTTCTCAAAGTATGAGAAGAAAGTGCTGCTGAGAGGTCTTGGATTTTCAAAGCCAAGGGTTTTTTTTACCTAAAAATAACATGTCAAGGCTAACTTCATTGTCTTGGCTCACTTCAAATTCAAAAGAGAGATAAAAATCTCTCCCTGGAAATGCTTATCCTACTCAAACTCTTATCTTAGATTGGTATCAATCATTCATTTTCCCCAGACAGTATCTCAATGACTATATTAAACCAGACACCTTAATTTTAGACAGATACAAGTTCATTGAGATGAATCCAGCCTTAAGCTCCTGGGGACACAGTCTCAGGACAAGCTTCCTGCCACCCCCCAAACACCCATATGTTCACTCTGGGATCTCAGTGCTCCCCCAGCACAAACAAATCCTCATCTGTAGATCTTAAATTGACAACAATGGCATTAATAATCCCTGTGACACAGACCTGGGCTGCAGAAACAGCTAAATTAGCTTCTTTCTCTCACTGCCCATCTGGCTAGACTTGGTCTAATACAGAGAAGTGAAACTCTTGCACTTTGTATTTTATAAGCGATAAACCAGCCTGAGCAGTAAGGAGGCACGTGCCCATCTCTTCTATGGCCTGAGTAAGGGATCAAGGCTCTCAGGCTTTGAACAAAGGGCACAGGAGCAAGTCCAAGAGGCAATCCATCACTCTCCTTACTATTACTGACTCAGCACTATGCAAATCAACAGCAAAAATCTGCACAGCATTTATTGGTGGAGAAATGGTGACATCTAGCCTCAACTTTCCCCTTCAGTATTCCCTGGTAAAGAACAAATACCAAGAGCAGACTCACTGGCAACACCTTTTTGGAAGCAGTTACAAGTCCTGAAGGAGAGGGGGCCCAAGCGCCTTGTGAACTGAGATGCCCAAAGCGGGAGGAAGCTTGGCTCCATATTGAAGGTTTCTACACTTCACTTTTTCCTAAACTGCACCGTGAAAAGAAGTGATGACTTGAGCTTAATGAACATTCTCAGTCTATATCTCAGCAAAGCAACACAAAGACATGACACCACAATGGAATAATCACACATTTTCTTACCATGTCCTGGTATTTACAGTGTTCTAGGTGTACGGAGCTGAGTCCATATGCACCTTTATAGAGTTCTTCCAAATATGTGTAATAACTTATGCACAGCTTCAAGGAAACAAGAGGTACAGTTTTCACAAACAGCAGCACCACACTTTTCTCAGCTTCCTATGTCTTCTACTACTGTTGTTTTCCAATAGAACTAATAGTGAACCTTGTAATGTTATATATATCATCATGTATTATTCCAGACAGCACTAATTTGGGGATATACATAAATAAACTTCACACATCAGTTACTGGAAAATGAAGAAATTACATCTTTCCAAAAGGAAAAAGAATTCCCCTCTCGAATCAAGCAGAACCTTAACTCAGCACTTCATGACCTTTTATGATTTGAAAATCATTTATTAGCTACTGGATCACAAATTAAGTTGAAACAAGTGTTAAGCTTGCCTAAGGACTTCTTTCTTTCAGGCTGCTTAAAAAAAATCTAGGGGGGAGCTACATGAAATCACTATGGTCCAATTAACAAGGATCTCACTCTTCAAGCTTGCAAACAAGAGATTACATTAACACCTGCTACAAAAGCAAACATTTTTAGATATCTTCATCTTAACCTGCTTGACATTGACTTCAAACTCCTGCTTGGCTCTCAGATGAAAATTATTGTGACTGACATGTATATTTTTCATTTGGTGGTGGGGTTGCAAAGACTGTGTTAGTCCCTATTTCTCTGTCTCTGGTCTTTATGCATAATTCACTTCAAAGACAATAGGAGTTACATACATGCATTGATGTGAGAATAATTTCCTAAACATAAAGTTGTTGAAGGAAAGCCATTATGCTTATGGGAGATAAATGCTGCATGTGAACATATGAGACACACAGAGTGTGTTGTAGGGTCCTTGATGGATCTCATCCAACATATGCCTACAGTGGCATGTGTAAGTAACTCCTTCGTGGTCTATGCATCAAAATAAACCGACCTCTTGGGCCAACACATATATTTATAACATCTGTACAGACATTTCTTTGCATTCACCAGAAAAGCAACCACACAGATGCAGCAGAAATACAACCCATCAGATTACAATAACACTTCACTACAAACTCTTGCAACAGGAGTGTAATAGAAGGCAGAAAACAATGATTTTAAAACACTTGTACGTCTGAAAAGTTGAACTTTCTGAAGTCCAGAATTGTTGGAAAAAGAAGAGAAAAAACCCACCGAAATAACTCTGTAAGTGTTTTGGTTTGACAATGTTCCTCAGGAATTCACCACACTTAGCTGGGAAAATGCTAGCAGTTAAATCTATTCAATGTCATGACATACAAAATTGAAACATAATTGCTCCTAAGTGGTTGACAACTGGCAAGTACTTTTTACATGGATAGAGAGAAATTTATGCTATCAAATGGAAGATACTGTCAAAAGTTTGATTTTAATATAAATGAAAATGCTACACGAGGACTCAAAAGGATAAGGAAAAAAGCTCAGCAGTAACACTTTTATAACCACATATTTAAAAAGCTTTGAAGTGAAGAATCATTACATCAAAATCATTTTCCTTGAAAGATAAAAAAAATAAATTACAGCATGAATATTAACAAGTTATTAGAATAGTGAATTTCAAAGAGTAGCAAAAAACAAGCAGCCGATGAGTGGCCTAGTTTAAAGAATGTCTTACCAATCATATGGTTAGCGACATGGATTTGTATCTCTCTCTCATTCTCAAAGGTCATCTGGCACTTGATGCATTGATAGGTCTTTTTCTGTTTAATAATCAAAAAGAGATTAGAGAAAACTGCACTGTAGCATAAGGCAAGTGAGATCATGAATACAGCATGTTACATGCTTCAACTTTCCTCCACTGAGGCCTTTTCTGCTCATAAATCCCCAACAAGACATCATGTTGGGCTTGGCTTTTCTGGGACCATAAATACAATCTCTAATTAAGAGCCTGCTTTGGAAGAATTTTTAATTTCAACTTAAAAAATTTCAAATGATAGTACTTGAAAATCTGATTGAGTACTTGAGCCATAATGAGATTGCTCAAATCATTTAACCCATTGCAGTAAAAATTCCTGCAGAGTGAAGTAAAAGACATTGAAAGGTAATACAACAGGCAAAACACCTACAGTTACTTGCAGAAGTGAAGGACAAGAGGAAAAAATACATTTTGTAATAGTCTCCCATCAGAAATCCTGGAAAAACTGAATTACCACAAAGCATTGTTTCCTAGAACAATCTGTTGTGTATTTTCTCCATCTCAAAGTGTCATACCAGGGAGGCTTAGCTGCACAAGTCAGGAGACAGTGTGAAGAGGCAATTACATGAACCATTTATTCAAATAGGGAAAATAGGGTTTGCACTCAGATTGACAGTGGTGCGTGTACTTGTGCAACATGACAGGAAAAAATCCAAGAAATCTTTTGTAGAAATTAAAATGCATGTGGATGAGTTAGACATCCAAGTTGGAAAAAACAAAACCAAACCATGAATGCTAGACTTTTCTACACTTGCAAAAACTCATTTCCCAAAGCAGGAGTGTGGTGCTTGAGTCTAATGTGCATGCTCATTTCCTGCATGAGAATATGCTATCTAAATAGACATCTTTTGACATACAGTTTAGAAAAATCGGGCCTTTCGTGCTTACTTCCTCCTAGAGAGTAACTCCTACTGCAACACTTCCCACAAGCCATAAGCATGAACATGTGGTCCATATCCTTACGACTAGAGAGGATGGCAGCAGAACATACGTGAAACCTCTGCATGCTGGCCGCAAGCTCAGTTAGCCAAGGAATGGATGAGAACCCCCAGCCATTAGCACTGAGAAAACCAATTCAGTAAACAACACCCTTTCTTGAAGCAAAATATTTTGCAGGGGTTTTTTTTGTGCACTTTTAGCACATTATTTTTCTTACAGCCTCCACCCCACACCTAGGTATAGAATCCATTTTTAGGACAGAAGTAATAAGTCAGAAGTTTTGAGTTAAACAGAGGAGTTGCTGTCACCCCCTCTGCGCATGGGATCCAATTTCCTCAAGCACCTGCTGAGGAAAGAACAAATTAGGTGCTGCCAAGAGCTTCTTAACTACTTCCCATGTCATCAATGGCAACAAGTTAGCCTGCTGGAGGTTAATGAACATGCTGTAATACCATAATAACAAATGCACCAGTCTATGGATGTCATGCATATTCCGTGAATTCTGTATGCAGTACGTGTTTGCATATAAGCAGGGCTTTCTAGGCTAAAATAACAATGGGTGATTAACATGATAATAGGAAGAAGGCTATAGTCCATTGGCCGAAACCTGACACAGCCAACTGTATAAAAGGAAATAGTTTGGATTGGCTACTTATGCCTAGGCAGCTCAAGAAAGTATCCTCCTGGAGTCCATTCGGAAATCAAGGCCATTAATGGAAAAGCAGCTGGATTTCTGTAGCACTCTTTCTTGGGAACCTACGCCAGCAGACAAGCACAGCACGCATACATACACATGTCCTCTCAAACACACTGGCATACACATGCTGAGGGCTCCTAACTTTAAAAACAAAACAAAACACCAAAAATCTTGGAAAACAAAAATGGGATGGGGTGGTGAATGATTCATGTGGTCACATTTAAAACTTGAAACCTTCCTCTTTTTTTAAACTACAAAGCTAAGTTCTGTGCCTTGTTCTACACTTATCTCTGTTATGAGGGTTCCCTAAGTAACTAGCTAAAAAGGACAATATTACAGCTCAACTCTATTTCAAACCTTTAAAGTTATATTAAACACAGACAAATGATTCATTTTTTTTAATTGATTTTGGTGCTTCTGAAAGCTACTTACTAACAGATCTGGAGACAGGATGTCTTTGTTTATCCACAGACCCAGCGCAAACTCCTCCACACCATTTCACAAACTTATAAAACACTCTGCTTGGCGTGACCACCCCTCACAGAAGACAGATTTCAGACTTCCTCTGAGTATTGTCTTCAGCCTCAACTGAGACACACGCATGGAAAACAGCAGATGGCTCTTGTGATAGGGTACCCTAGTTGAGACGATGGCTCTTGTGATAGGGCACCCTAATTGATACAGAGTGATGTTAATAAACAGCCTCATACAGGCCACAAAATAACTATAGCTAGATTAGCACCCAACTGTATACGCAAGAGATGGAAGAGCTGATTTTTTGGCTCGTTAATAATTCTATTCAAAAGAATGTCACAAAACCAGACTTCCATTCTCAGTAAAACATTGAGCACTAGTTTCAATAGAAAGTTGTGCTATTTATGGTACTAAATATGTTCTGCTACCATTTCTGTGGGTATCATGGCTTCACGAACTTTATTAATAAGGTCAGTTATCCTCTCTTACAGTTCTGTCTTCACAAGTGGTGACAACAAAGTTGCCCAGACTCTGAGGAGCTAACAGAGTCCAGGTGACTGCATCTAGGTGAACGAGAGACCAGACAAACAGGCCTGCAGCTGAGGCCTCAATCCCCATTAAGTCAAGATATTTAATTCTAATCCTGGCACAAAATAGTAGTAATAACAACAGAGGGTTCTGGTTTCTTTTCTGAAGTAACTATTGTTCCCATGGGTTTTCCAGACTGTCCTCCTTTAAATCTGGAAATGGTTTCCTGTTCTACAAAGAAAATATTCCTCCATTCAAGTGGATTTACAAGGGAAGAGAAGGGGTGTGGGGGAGAACAAAGAGAAGGAATTGAGTCCAAGAAAGTGTACAGGAGAAAAGGAACTGAGTAAAGGAGCACAACAGGGTTGATTCTTCTAACTTTCTATGCAACCTCCATTGCCACGTTCTCCAGTCCAAATAACCTATGTGGGCCTAAAATAGTAACACTATTCAAGAGGGAAATTTAATTGAAGTCTAAGCATTTGCTACTGTTGATGTTACACAAGCATTGTTCATGATAACTATGGTACAAAATAAGGATAAATCTGTAAAAGAAAGAGCAGCTTGAAACGTGACTGTTTCCAGTATTACAAGTGGCAATGATAAATCTCAATACTAGACAACTAGTCATGTTTCTCAAGACATGTGCATTCCTCTAGAAGATGTTAAAGGAATTAATAAAATGTATTCAAAACTAAAGCTCATACGCATAGAAGTATGTTCAGAAAAACACGAAAGCATTACCTCTGATGCAATCATAATAGAATAAAAAAAGGTCTTGAGTTACACATGTGCCAGATACTGGAATGGTACCTCTACTTGTGATGTTCATCTAAAGAAATACTTTTAGTCCTATCCAAACAGAATAGCTCACGTAAAACTATGAGGATCAAACACAAATTGATGTTAGAGCAATCTTTTACTACTAAGGTGTATTTTATTTATTCACGTTAGTGATGTCCCTTACGGAAGGCCATTGGCTTGCCTTAAAATCCCCTAATAACAAATCCTCCAACGCAGATGTTGCCACGTACACAAGGCAAAAACTTTGTCCATCTGGAAATCTATCTTTGTTAACCATCATGATTGGATCCTAGTTAAATGTCCTAGAAACACAGGTGATCAATTCACAGACACTTCTTCCTGATTGTTTGCCATACTAAAAGTTAAATGATGAAGACAGAATACAGCAGCATTTTCAAGGGTTTTCTTTCATTCTCATGGATAAAAAAAAACACCAAACCCCAAAATTGCCAAGCAATTCCGAGTGCTTTTTGATCCTCATCTATCTATCTCCAACTGATTTTCAGAACAAAACCTCTAAAAATTCAACAGTAAAAACCTCAAAATATAACAAAATATTCATACTCCCTTTGTGGTGCTATATCCGTGTGCATATATACAGATGCCTTTACATATAGTAAAAAGGAATTTTTGTTTTTCTCCTGTTTTTTTCTTCCCAAATATTTTAATTTTTTATTCATCAAGTACTAATATTTTTTTTCTTCCTTCCTTTCACTTCAGAGGTAAATCTTCATTTAGTTTTTTTTATGAAATTCCTTTAGGCTTCCATGCTCACTTCTTCAATTTGAAAAGTATAACTGCCGGTGGAGCGATTTCCGACACTGAAAGAAGTTATGGATTTTGTACGTCAGCATCATCTTTTTCATTTGCTTGGATCTACTTAAAATCTAATCTCCCTATATTTTCTTTATGACTGTACCTTGTTCTAATCTTCAACTGCTTTTCTGTTTAAGAAGGAAAAATCAATAAGCATTTAAAAAAGAAATGCATACGTGCTCAAGAATTGGAAAGAAGCAGCTCTTCTCTCGACATCAGCAGATTACTCTGCACGCATTGTGCACTTAAGATTGCTCCAGTAAAACGGTATTTTACCTGTGCGCAGCATGCTAACAAGATGTCAAGAAAGATCATGTTCAACTTGCTTAGCTTTGGTGTGAAGCCAATGAAGTTAAGTAAACACTGTTCTTGAAATACAGAGATTTATCACCATTTAAAAGGCAGGGTAATTCTTTGAAAACCCCTGTGCTAGGCAGACACAAAGGACACTCATTGCCTTGAGAAAAACACCAGTAGTTTCCACGTGAACTGATACCAGAATTCAGGTCTTGTACCTATAATGAAGGGTAAGATAATGAATTATTCCTAATAACAATATATCTATTCTTGGGATGCATACCATAAAGGTCTCTGATATTGGTATATGTGCAGGCCATAGACACCTGTTGAAGGTAGCATTTGCCATCATCACAAATGCTGATTTTTCATTATCTTCTACAAAGGAACTAAGACCTTTCCTCACGGGATGAAATTCAAAGCATTTACCTTATTGAAGAACTTAAAAGTCTCCCTTGAGAGAACAAGTATGGAAGCTGTCACTGAAAAGAAAGAGTTAAAGCAAGAAATAAGAGCAAAATATGGCAATGAATTCTACTTATGACCGTCAACAGAAAAGTAAAGGTAATACTTTAGGCTATAGGCATGGCTATATGAAGTAAGAATTAGTCCTATGTAAAAGAACAGAGGTGTTTTAAAGAACTTAGAAGAAAATAAAAGCCTGAGGAGGAGGAAGGAGAATGACCTAGCCAGAGTCCCAGCCAAACTCTCAAAAGTTATCACACCGAAGGAGGGATATTTCCATTTCTCATTCTTCTGCAGAATTAGGCATGTGTGTCTGGAGGCTTAGTCGCACACTCACCGCACCCAGAGGGAACAATACCCAGTTGTTTTACTAAAAAAGCAGTGGGAAAAAAAAAATTAAACTTTCTGTGGGATTTGTTCAGAAGCCTGGAACAAGGCACTGAGGCCAGTGGGTGCCAGGGCAGGCAGTGCTATGCTCCAAGCTGGCTGCGCACAGTTCAGCTCGGCTGGACACTGCCGCCCAGCATGCTCCGGCGCTGAGCCAGGGCTAACAAGTCCCGCTGGGGACACAGCCTGCACCAGCTCTATTGGAGGCATCTCAGCCTGCGTCCTCAGGACGTACTTAGGGTCTCCTCTTACTTACTGAGCCTCTGGTGTTCTAGTTGAATGGTATTTTCTGGTTCTTTTAATGCAGGAAGATGTGTTTGTGGGTGCTTTAATTAGCAGATTGACATAAACAGGCATCTATGGCTGGAATTATTCATTAGGAGTTGGGTGCCTAATTTCCTTAGATACTTTTGAAAATCTCACCCCATCATGTTTAATTAAAAATGTCAGATGATATCAATACTCAGATGTGTCTGTTGTTGGTCTCCCGAGAAGATTTCCAAAATCTACTTCTCATTCCATCTGTTCCTGACAGAGGAAGGACTGACTTGGCCCATTCTTGAACCAAAACGTCAACAAATAATTTTAAAAGACTATAAACTGCAAATTATATTAATCTCCTGAGTAAGCTTCTGAAACCTTACTTGGATCTGCATGTTCCCAAGTATCTTGTAAGCTAAGAAATGGGAAAGCAGGGTATCTGCGGACATTAAAGGACAGCACACTGATAGGTAACCTGCATTAGACAATAATTTCCAGATTTGCTAAGAAAACTACTTATCTTACAGGATTTTAAAATAACTTTTAAATTCATACACACACACACGCACAAGCATACACGTATGCACACAGACATCCAAGTAGCCTCACAACATTCACTCTGATAGACATTCATAAGGACAAGCTCTTTAGCATAGAAATTTGTTTTAGGTGGGAATTTGGGGGTTAGGGTGGAATTCACTACATTTTTGCTCAAAAGTTCCTTTATCCTCCTGCTTGTGTTTAGTTCCCTAGTAAGAAATAATCTCATTCCTCAAGTATGACAGATCAGATTTTCTTGGGGCGGGGGGGGTATGGCAGGTGGCGATGGTGGCGTTACTCAGCATCTCCTTTTTTCATGGAAATCCTCCAGCTTTTCCAGATCTACCAGTTCAGTAGCATCAGAATTCATGGACAAACTCAATACCCACCGTTCAAGTGTCTCAGCTCTCTGTTGGTAAATCTAGGGCAGTTTTATGATAAAAAATCTGATGCACTGCCACTAGAAATCTAGAAGCCTGCAAGTCTGAGCAACATCTAATTTTTCTATCTGGTTACTCTACCTTTCCTCCTGTTTTGTTGGGTTTTTTTAGTAGAACAAGTAATTTTATAAAGTGACAGTTTAAAATAAAATAACATCAGATCAGTTCTCAGTTACATTGAAGGTCTACATTTTATCCCTCAGACATTTTAAAGTTCAGCTGTACTTACTCTGGGAACAGGGGATGTCTGGGTACCTTTCCTTTGGCCACTAGTCTCAGGTGTCAAGTCTCGGTGGTCTACCTGAATGTGGCTCTCTAGGTCTTCAGCACTTTCAAATTTGACACTACACTCTGGACACCTCAGACTGCCACATGGTCTCTCATTCACCTCCTGTGGAGTCAAGCCTGAAGACTGTCCATTGGTGCTCCTGGTCATGCATCCAGCACACAGGCCATAGGGAAGGCCATTCACATCCAACTTTACCAAGTCCTGCTTATTCCGGAACTCCTTCAAGCACAATGCACACTTGTAGAGTTTTTGCAAGGCCTGGCCATTGGGCGACGAGGTTGCAGAGTTTCCTGCCAATTTCTGCATATGGAATGTCCCATGAATTTTCAGCTCAAGGGTAGAGGTGACCGTCTGCATGCAGACAACACAACGAAACCCAGTGAGGGAGTTTCTGAGATCTGGATGCATCTGGCAGTGCTCAATAAATTCCTCCTCGCTTTGCAGCGGCATTTTGCAGATCCGACATGTCCCCGTATCCAAACTCTTGCTGTGAGTGACTTTGTGCTCCGTCAGGGTCAGGAGTGATGGGAAGCGTTCCCCACAGATGGGGCACATGTAGTGCTTAGCTGGGCCTCGATGGGTCTGCATGTGCTCTCTCAGGCCATTTTCTGAGAAAAAGGTCCTTGAGCAGATATTACACTTGTGGCTACCTTTGATGAATTCTGCTTTCTTCCTAGAACAGTCATCCTCCCCAGGCCTGATGTTATGATCTCTCAAACGATGGTTTTGCAAGAGGACTTCCATAGTGTAGGCAGCCCCACAAATGTCACAGCCATACATAGGCTCAGAAGCATCTACATCATCCTCACTGGCTTCATGACTGTTGGAAGTATCTGGATTCTTCATTAACATATTCTGGATATCTGCCCCTTCTGTCTTCTTATTTGTTGGGGTCATGCCATTAGCTGTACCATTTTCAGCGCTAGCATCAAAAACACAATGTTTTTCCCGCAAGTGCTTTTCAAGCAAGATGATGGCATGAAAAGCTTTGCTACAAAACTTGCAGTTGTACTTTTTGCTGTGGGTTGTGATATGGCACTGCAGTTCTACCTCTGTGCTAAAGGTTTCACCACAGAAGATGCATTTGTGAGACTTTGACGGATTCCCCAAGTGACTATGCTTCACATGGATCTGAAGATCCACCTCCTTTCTAAAATCCCAGTTACAGGCTGTGCAACGATACATCTTCTTTTCATTGCTATGCTTGACTGCCAGATGCACTTGGATAGATACCTTGGAATCAAAAACTTCTTGGCAAAGGGTGCAGTGATACAACACAAAAGTATGCATGTCCAACAAATGCTTCTGCAAATCATCCACCGAAGAAAACTGTTTGTCACAGCTCTCACATACATAATGAGTTGACGTTGTCATGTAATGTACAGTGAGATGTTGCAGAAGAGACTCCTGGGAATCAAAGTCTTCTTTACACTGAGGGCAAGACTGTTTCCTCAAGAGCAACTCCAAATGCAACTTTAAATGGGTTTGAAAACTTTCAAAATTTGAGAACTTCAGATCACACTGATTACATGGGTATTCACCATTAGACACTGAGTTTACGCTAGCAGAAAGCCGCTGCCTTTTAGGGGAAGAGACTTCAACATCAGAAGAAACTGGACTCTGCTCTGCTTTTGACTTCTTATTGTGTGCCAGAGGAATGTTCTTGTGGTTTTCTTTAATATGCTTTGTAAGCTTCAGGATGGAGCCAAAAATGGGGGAGTTTGTGCAATAAGGGCATGAATAAACTTCCATAAAAGACTGTGTTGGCTGAATGACAGGGGAATCCAATTTTGAATTTCCTACATTGCAGTGAGTCTGCTGAATATGTTCAGTCAAGGTTGCTTCAGTCAGAAAGCCCATGGAGCACTGGTTACAGAAGAAAGCATTGTTGCCATCTTGAGGGGTAGCGTTTGGGCCACAGTGAGTAATACGGATGTGTTCTTGTAAGCTATTGATATCTGCAAACATCTCTGGGCAGTAGTTACAGTGAAAGGCAGAAATGTTGCTAAACTGCATCATGGGATAGGCATGGTTTTTGTGCACCTTTCTCACGTGTTCATTCAAGTTGTACAGTGTAGGCATGGAATCAAGGCAGATCTGGCACGTGTGGCTTTGCTGAGGTTTGTCTGCATGAATGGTCTTCAGATGAATCTCCAGAACAGCAAGGCTGTTGAAGTCACGCTTTGAGCAGTATGGGCAGCTGTAAGTAACTTTAGACCAGTTCTGGCCTTCCTCTCTGTCCACAGACCTGATTTTCTTTTGTCCTCTCAAAGGCTTTAAGGTCGAATCTGGAGTGGAACCTCTTTCCACTGATGCACTGGAGTCGGGCGTTGCGCTGCTCATGGATGCCACACTCCCCAAGACTGGGTCAGGGCTGATGCTGTGATTGCTGGAGTCAGGTTGTCTGTGGCTGTCCAAATGGCAATAGACTTCCTCCACTGAAGAAAACTGCTCCGGGCACATAGGGCACTTGTGTTTTTTGTTGGCATGGGCTTGATGAATGTGTGAGAGCAGCGAGTTTTCGTCTGCAAATACTTCAGGGCAATGAATACACTGCAAATCTGCCTTCTCGGAAAGCTGTGGGTGGCGTGTCATTACGTGCTTCTCCAAATCTTCAGTCTGACTGAATGTCTCTTCACAGTAATCACACATAAAATCATCCTTCTTCACCTCTTTCTCACTCTTTGCCATATGTTCCTTGTTCTTTTTATGAGCTTGCATGTGACTCTGCAACGAGCTGGTAGATGAAAACCCACGTTTACACACAGTACACTTGAATGGTTTGCTGGAGCTGTGGGTTTTCAGGTGAATTTTGAGGTGGTCGCTGCGAGAGAACGCAGCCTCGCATTCATGGCAATGGTACTTTTTATCCCCTGTGTGGAGCTTTATGTGGCGATCCCTACTTCTCTTGTGCTTAAAAAGCCGGCTACAGTAGGTGCATTTGAAAGGTAGTTTGTCACTGTGGATCTGCTCGTGCCTTTTAAGGTAGCTCAGGCGAATGAAGGACTTATCACAAAACTGACAGGGATACGGCAGGCCAGTCCCCCCTTCCTCCTCCCCGATGCCGAGATCACACCCATCTCCTATCATCTGAGTGGGTGATGCAACATCTTTGCTGGAGGGAGATGAAGCCACCCAGGAGAGTTGTGGGTCGTCATCACCATCTGTAATGGGAAAGCAGAAAGGAGATTAAAAACAATTCCCAGTGCATCTGTGAAATAAGGACAAAGCTCCCAACAACACTATGGGCTTCTGCTACTACAGCAGTAAAAAAAAAAAATCAACTAAAAAAAAAATCTCTTGAATTTCAAAGGAGGTTTGAGAGAGAGAAATAAAAATATAGTTGTACACATAATTCACAAATATGCTAACATATAGTATTAATAAAAAGCATTTTTCTTTAGCAGGTTTAACACCTGCTCACTCTACTGTAAAGCAATAAACAATGAATAAAGAAAGCAAAACACAATGTGCAATGAAGCAATACAAACACTTTGAAAAGCTACAGTGTTAAGTGATCACCTGTGATTTTGTGGGTCTTTTTAAATGCTATATCAAGATGATTTTGAGTAATGTCTCCATTAAACAAAACACTTCAGTTCTGTCTCAAAACTGTAACAGAATGAAAGGCTGCTAAAAGCAGAGTCAAACATCCAGGTGAAATAAAAGCATTAGATTTGAGACAGCTCAAGAAAATTGGAGAAAAAATCTGCACTATTAGGTGTAATTCATTCGTATGAAAGGTAATGTTGCCTGCCTGGTACAAAACCAAATAAATTAAAAAATCCCAGAAAATCACCATTGGAGATCCCAAGACATCACAAAAGAATCAGCTTCAGGATAAACCAACAATGGCCCAGCCTCTGTTTTAATAACTATTTCCTTTGCTCAATATGAGACTTTGGAAAATATTTTATAATTTGATATTACCATAAAGAAACACAGTACTAACTCCAGCAGCAAAACAGTCATTTTAGGAAAAATACATAAAATGTTGGCAGCTTTCATAAACAGAATTGTTAACAAGAAACAGAAGAGAGCAAGTTCAAATATTCTAATTCCAATAAATGTAGAGATGTTGAGTGAAGCAAAAATGCCACTAGTCTGATATAAAACTGAGCCACGGAATGAAGCAAAAATAAAATCCATGTAAATGAGGGAAGGTGCTGACCACATATGCATTTGTAGACTCAAAAAAGGAACCAGTTCTCCAGATACATTGTCCTTATAAAACATTTAATGTTCCTACTTCAGCTCTTACTAAAACAAACCAATAAAAAAATCCCCAACTGTGCATGTAGGCTGCCACACGCGCAGTCCTTGTGCCTGCCAACTGCAGTCACCAGGCGGAAAGGAGCACATGTACGGTGGAGAAGCTCTCAAAGAAAGGCTCAGCTAATGAGGGTATCACCACCATGAGAAGCTAGCTCCTGTGGCACCGTTTGCTTTGGCAAAGACCTCCTTCTGTATCCCAGGAAAAGAGAGAGCAGGGCTACCTGGGAAAAACTAACCAAATAATCCCGCACTGAACAACTCTTCCCACATGCCAGGGCTGCCTGTTCTCCGCGATGCGTGGGTCAGGCACCTGCTTCCCTCGCCCCATGCTCCCCAGGGAGCTCTGCTCCCCCTTTAGCTAATTCTCCCGCTCCAGTGCAATGCTGGACACCAAGAAGGCGCTTCCTCCTGCTCCCAAAATGCACCCTGGCTCTCTGCAAGCACCAACTCTTCTAAGATGCTCAAGGTATTTGTGCCCAACTAACTCCTCCAAGCCTGGCTGAGCCTGAACCTAAATCGCAGGCGATGAGCCCCTGATTTTTACATAAACTTTTCTCAGGCTTCATTCCCCAACCGGTCTCTCTCTGCGGCTGCAACAAAGCCTCCTGTTCCCAACCTAAGCCCCTTCCGCTCGCCCCGCTGCCGGCACAGCCTCGCTCTGCCCTGGGGAGCCCCGTCCCCCCAGCTCTGCCGCCAGCCGCACGCGGGGCTCCGTCCCCACGGACCTGTGGCCACGGGCCGGCGGAGGGAAGGAGGCAGCCGGCTGCCAGCGCCTGGATTAGGGGCCCCGGGGAGGTGCTGGTAGCTCAGGGCTGGCTAATTCCCTCCTCTCGCCAGCTGGGCTCCTCCAGGGGAAAGGAGACAAAGGGGAGCAAGAGGGGGATGCTGGGCCTGAACTAGGGCAGCACATGTTGCGTTTGCTACCACTACGGCTGTCTATCGGGGAGGGAAAAGAAGAAAAACAACAACAGGGGAAAAAAGCACACCACCATTGTGTTATTTACTGCTTGGGCGTACTGGCTGTAATTAAAACTCATTTAAAATGTCCCCTTTGCAGAAACTATTATAACATATGCATTTTAAGCATCTTCCCTTTTGCAGCCAGACTACTCGTGCCTTGCGCAGGGCCGCAGCACACAGAGGAAGGACTGCACCGGAGCACTTAAAACGGCTCCAGTGAATAAAGCTGCACTGTTCAGCTTTGAAACTGTAGATCCAATGGGTCAAATCCAGTGGTAACACAGGCTGGGCCAACTGCTTTAACTGTGTTACGTCCATATGTGCTTAGGCCATCCATTACATTTGCCCACCATGCAAATCGAACAAATCTCTTAGAAGGTCTCTTTTTCCTCTGAAACGAACCCATCTACCTCAAAATGCACTCTAACATTCAAATAGGGCCAGTTCCCCTCCAGCTGCTGCTCTTCAAACATACTGGGCTATTCAGAAAACAAAATCAAAGAAAGCTGGTATTACTTTGTGAGTGATGCACAAAGGCATTGCTGTGCTAATGTAATTTGGATTCAAAAAACTTAACATTTCTCAGATTGAAAAGCTGGGTTTGTAATAAAAATGGAAGCATTTACATAGACAGTTGAAAGCAAAGTTTGTCTCCTTTTGTTAGCTTGATTTAGACTTTTCACCGATTTTCATGTTTAACTTCTGGATTCTTTTTATTGCACTGTTTTCTCATACTTTTACAATTTAAAAAGAATTAGGAAACTGGAAGCCCCAGAAACAACCTACCTTGACTTCCTTACAAACAAGATACTAAATTACTAAAACCTAAACTGAAGAAATTAGGGAAACTCATTATCATTAATCTCTTTATGAAATGAAAAATAGCCCTGTTAATTTTAACTTGCCATATTAAATTGAAGAAAAGACCTATAATGAACTGAGAAGGAAATTCTAAGGTATTTTACCACAGTAATATTTTAGTGGGAGGATATATTTTAGATGTGGTGTGACATGTCTGGCAATGATGGTTAGAATAATAATTCTACATTAATGCAATCAAAGGAATGTAGCAGAATGAGAAAAATCACTTTCAAAAAGGAGATTAAAGTCATTAAAAATGGCTAATCCTGCAAAGTGGGACTGTTCTAAAATAGAGAATCACATGGCTGGTGCAAGGCTTTTGTCATTTGCGCATAAGAGAATCAAAACAAGTATTAAAAGGGTAAGAAAATTCAATAAAAAGTTTAATTAGGAAAAAAAGAGCATTAAGGAAGCTTCAGAATGTCAGTAGTCCTCAGGATATATGTGCAGGTCATCAAGCTTAAAGGGCCAAACTTGATAATCAATCTCGAAGTGGTACAGTAATTTAGCAACTTAATGTTCAGCACGTTTATGGGACTGCAAGCATTTATCATCATCACCGAGGAGCTAATTCTAGCCTCAATGCATTCAATAAATGTATTTTTCCTTCTAATAAGAGCAATTTGGCCAAACTGCAGTATAAATCATACTTCATTCTCTGTTTATCTTCCAGATAACATGAGCCAAGTTCGGAAATACACTTATGCAGCTAAAACAATAAAATGAAGTCTTAAAAAGTGTGATCTCTCTTAGAAAGGAGGCAAACAGCGCATCACACGATTGCCAGGAGTAAGCAGCACTGTCATCTCGGCATACACTGATAACATTGATATATTTATTATTTCAAAGTTATTTTGCTAATAGAAATAAAATCGACCAGACAAAAGTTCACAGTCCCTGCAAACACTTTCCCCCATCTCCCTGCTCAAACCTAGCTGGAAACATTACGCTCCCACTAGACTTTGAGCCGAGCCGCATTTGAAGAGGTTGCAGAGGGACAGGCTTGCTCAGCTGCCTGGTCCCAGCCCTGGGGTCAGCATTCATGGGCAGTGCCTGCACAAACCCAGGTTACCCCTCAGCCAGCTGCTTTTTCTCTTAAGAACAGAGAAGAAAGAAAAGAAAGTCTTTTAAGAAAAGGTCTGCACAGAGACCCCATTTGCTGGCCCAGGCATGAAGTTTGTCCTTGCCTAAGCCCTCTTCTTTACCAATGTAGAGCATCATCGGGTTCCCCTCCAGTGAAAAACCTCCCTCCTCTCTCTCCCCTACATGTGGAAGGTTCAGTTGGCTCTTCCACAGGGCCTCCAGATGTCCCCCCACACCGCAGACACGTTGCAAGGTGGCCAGCGCGGTATGGGAAACCAGTTTATTCCAGCTGGTTTGGGTAAAAACAGCAGCACAGATTGAGCACCACAGGGCTCAGAAGAGGCCACACAACATGCCCAGGAATCAGCAAAATATCCAGGGTGTGGCCAAAGAGGCAACTTTGAGACTCTCCTCCCGAGCCCTGAAGGCATCTCCATACAGGACAATAAACCAAGGAGGTTAGGTTTGGAAGGTCCTCTTATTTTATCAGGTTTATTCCTCTAGCACAGAGCTAGTACACAAGAGAAACAGTTAAATTAACAAAAACAAAAATCAAAAATCAGTTGTGAAGGAAAAGTTTGCTGTTTGATTTACATTCAGACTCCTGATTCGCTCCGAGCCTCTCCATGGCACACAGGTTAAAATGGGCAAAGCACTCAAATAGCTTTAGGCTATTGAGGGCTGATGGAATCCTAGCACCCAAAAAAGTAAGTTACCTTTGCAGCAAGCTTGGCATCGTAAGACACGCTTCTGAACTGTGTTTCAGTTCCTCATCTCCATAATAGAAAAAAGCCATCTGCTCCTCAAGGGCAAATTGTAGGGCTTACTTCTGTATAGCTGTGAAACCCTGAGACATCCTCAGATGGAAGGCCCGATAGAAATGCTATCAATTTCAGTAATTATTATTATCACAGATGCTTAACTACAAGAATACAACACAGAATCTGAGGTCAGAGAAATCTTCAGTACTGGTTACAGCA